TGATTTGTGTTTTCATTGGTATGTGAAATTCCTAATGAGAAAAATCATCCTCTTACTGCAAGTTGGCACTTTTCTGCAACTTCCTTTCTTGGAGTATTGCCTGGGGCACTGAAAGTTTGGATGAATTATACAAGGTCACCCCATCAGTATCTCTCAAAGGCAAGACTTGAACCCATGTCTTAATGACTCTAAGACTGGCTCTCTATTGACTGTACCATATTGACTTTCTAAATTTGACTTTAAATAAAGATTAGATATTAGAGATATGTTACAAACAACTTAAGTTATTGAAAGTTTTAAAATCCTGTAGACTCAATGAAGACCTTGCATATAGCTTACCTAAGATCAAAGACTTTAGGACTAAAAGCAACATTTTGAGATCATTTCATCCAGCTCCTTCATTTTTATAGGAGAATAGTTAGAGGCCAAGAGAGATATTGCTCAAGGTCACTCATGTAGTAAGTATTAGCACAGTCAGAATTTGCAACCAGGTCTACATATCTTGTGTTCTTTCCTTTAAATCAGCAGTTCTCAAACTTTTTGGCCTCAGGACCACTTTAAACTCTTAAATATTTTTGAAAAACCCTGAAGATTTTTTCTACATATGGGTTATAGCTATTGATAAATTTTAAAATATCAGTTTATTAATTCATTTAAAATTAGTAGTAATAAACCCATTTTATATTAAGATAAATATTTTTATGAAAAGTAACTATTTTCCAAAACCAAAAAATATTGGAGAGTAGTGACCTTTGTTTTAAAATGTTTTTGCAAAGTTCTTTGATGTCTGGCTTAATAGTAGGCAATTGGTTTTTCGTCTCTACTTCTTCAGTTCAGTCTGTTGTCGTTCAGTCATTTCAATTGTGTCCAACTCTTCATGACCCCATTTGGGGTTTCCTTGGCAAAGATACTGGGGTGGTTTGCCTTTTCTTTCTCGAGCTCATTTTACAGATGAGGAAACTGAGGCAAACAGGGTTAAATAACTGGTCCAGAGTCACATAGCTAGTAAGTGTCTGAGGCCAGATTTGAACTTAGGAAGATGAGTCGTCTTGACTCCAGGCCCAGCATTCTATCTACCGGACCACCTAGCTGCCTCTCAGCTTACTGTGATATGTTGTTTTGGTTGAAGTATGTAAAAAAAAAAAAGGAAAAAAAAACAGCCTTACTGAGATAGTTGGAAGAGGGAAGAGAATCTTAATAGCCTTTGCAGATAATTATTGATCATTTCTTAAAGGTTAGCTGTAATGTGGACTCTGAAGCCACATCAATGAATTTTTCATTCTCTGCTATAACGAAATCCATTGATCTATTCTGTACCCCAAATGGGTCTTTAACCCATGCCTGATTTTCTAACATCATTGGTAATTGGGAAAATATTTGTTCACTGAGTTATGGAGATCTTGCAAATATTGACACATTTCATTAAACAGTCTAAAGAATTTCATTTGTTAGTGTGATTTTGTTTCAGTGTTAAGATCAGAAAAAAAAAATTAGTATTGGAAAGTTGTCAAGCTCACAGTGGCAGACGTAAGTTTTCCAAAATTCTAATTTTCACTTGAAGCTCAGATTTTATGATTGGTAACAAATGTTGTCATTTGTTTTCCTTTATAAGACAGGCTTACTTTGTTCATTTTAGAAAAAAAATGTCTGCCAAATACCCGTCTGAATAACCATCATTTGTTTCTCAGTTGTTCTTTCAAGTAAAAATGGTGTTCCATGAGCAAACTGGCCAGTTCGGCTTGCAGCTCAGCCCCACAAATGCTTTTCCTTAAGATAACCATAGGCAACTAAGTGGCACCATGGTGCACAGAGTGCTTGGCCTGGAGTCAGGAAAACTCAGGATGTTCCTGAGTTCAAAATCTGGCTTCTGGTACTTACTATTTGTGTGACCCTGGGCAAATTATTTTAAACTCTGTTTGCCTCAGTTCTCATCTATAAAATGAGCCGGAGAAGGAAATGGCAAACCGCTCCAATATCTTTGCCAAGAAAATCCCAGATGGGGTCAGGAGAAGTCGGATACAACTAAAAAATGACTGAACAGCTAGACAACCCTTCTATTTCAGCATGTAGCATAAGGCTTTGTAGATTTGGCACACAGCATATTAAAAAGACATGTACTTAAGATTTAATAAAATGAATAATTTTTATTGTTTCACAAGGACATTATTAAGTGAAACTGGATTTTTTAACAGCAAGTGGTGGTGAAGAATACAGTGATTATTAATAGTCACTTTTTTGAGGCAGCTAGATGGCATAGTGAATAGAGTACTGGGCCTGGGGTCGGGAAGACATGAGTTCAAGTCTGGCTTTAGACACTAGCTGTGTGACAAGTCACTTAATCCTGTTTGCCTCAGTTTCCTCGAGAAGGAAATGACAAACCACTCTAGTATCTATGTTAAGAAAACCTCACGTGTGGTCATGGAGAGTCAGGCTTGATAGAAAGCACATCATTTGCTTGGTGCCACTGCCCTGATTAATGCTAAGACACCAGCAGTTGTAGCTACCATTGCTTTTGTTCCATCAGTGCAAACATCAATACAGTTGTTCTGGGATAAGCCATGAGATTTTTTAAAAAGTTATTCAACACTTTGAATATTTCAGTACCACTTGTATGTATTGTCAAGCATTTCATATAAAAGAAGATCTTCTTTGGTGATGAGATAGTGTTGATACTGGATGGATACAAAAAAAAAAACACCGAGTCTAACCACATCTATAAATTCATCCATTTGTGAGACAAGAATGCAATTCTACAGATGAGATAGTAACACATTCTCCATGTTTGTACTTAAGTTTTTAATTTACAGGTCATGTAGCCTCTGGAAAATTCCACTGTACACTCATGAAAGACAGTGAAAAAAGGCAAATAGTATCTTAGTATTATTATGGAAATAGTTTTGACTTCACAGAACCCCTGTTGAAAGGGTCTTGGGAACCCCAAAGTGTCTATGCACCACACTTTGAGAAGGACTGCTTTAAACCATGAAGCTGTTACGCTTTGTGTGGAACACGTATTCCACGTTGTGTATGTGTATGTGTCTGTGTGCATATTAATAATAGAATCGTCAATGATCACATTCAGGTATGCAAATGCAATTTTAAAAAATAAATAAAAGATCTTTGGATTTGGAGGCAGAGAGATATGGGTTGACCTACCTCTATACATTTTAAAACTTAATCTGTAAAGTGAGATGATTTGATCAGATGAACTTTGTGTTCCTTTCCAGTTCTTATTGTATGATCCTGCACGAAATTGTAAACTTTCATTATTTGTACTTTGTCAAAAAAAATTAAGTGCTTTAGCAAAATAGTAACACAGTCATCCAGTCTCTTTGTTTTTTTCTGCTTTTTTCCTTCTATTAATTTACCCCAGACTTTTTTAATATGTTAAATACATACTTGCTACGTACTCAGTGTATGTATTGTTTTGTTCCTGCTTTCATGCTTCTGCACCTCTTCAAAGATGTCATTCCATATTTCTTTATGTCCATCATAGTTGCCATTTCTTACGACACAGTAATAATCCATGGCATTAATACATCACAATTATTTAGCTATTTCTCAATTGTTAAAATACACACGAGCTGTTTTTCAGGGTCTTTTCTGTTGTTGCTTTGATGAATCATGTTACTAGGAATTTTCCTGTATAAATATGCTCTTTTTTCTTGGTAGTTACATACATAGGATATAGTCCTAGCACTGAATAGGATGACTGGATCTAAAGACATGAATGGTTTCGTAAATAATTCACATTTTCATAATATGTTGTGAAAAGAGTACAGAGTCAGGAAATATCTGGACTGAACTCTGACTCTAATATTTATTGACTGTGTGATCATAGCTGATGCCTTTCCTTTGAAGGCTACCTTCCACCTACTCTTGTCTTTATGTAAGCGTTCTCTCCCCCATTAGAATGTAAAGTATGTTTTTTCTTTTTTGTTTGTGTATTCAACTTTTAGCATCTGTGCTTAATAAATTTAGTACATTTAGTATAGTGCTTAATAAATGCTTATTGATTGATTGGCCATGGACAAGTCACATCCTCTTTGAATCTTGATTCTTCATACATCTTTTTTTTTGGTGAGGCAGTTGGGGTTAAGTGACTTGCCCAGAGTCACACAGCCATGTGTCTGAGGCCGGATTTGAACTCAGGTCCTGCTAACTCCAGGGCCGATATTCTATCCACTCTACCACCTAGCTGCCCCAAAAATAGGATAAGATTTTTTTGTTTTGTTTTTTGGTGAAGCAATCTGGGTTAAGTGACTTCCCCAGGGTCACACAGCTAGTAAGTGTCAACTGTCTGAGGCCAGATTTGAACTAAGGTCCTCCTGACTCCAAGGCCAGAGCTTCATCCACTGCTGCACTTAGCTTCTCCTTTCATGTATCTTATCATGGCCTGCCTCACAGCATTGTTGCATTAAATGAGATATTATATGCAGAATACTTTGGAAACTTAAAGTATGACATAAGTGTGAACTGTTTCAGTTATTGTTGGTAATAATAATGTATTTGAAACCAAATGGTTACCTACATGTAGTGCATGGATCTCTCAATCTTTATTATGAAGAGTTCTAATTGTTCTGTCTATGGTGGGCTATCTTCTAGACCTAGGGAGAGGACGCTTTCACTTTTTGCTCTTGTAATCTACTTCAGTACAGCAACCTTAATGTATTATCTTGGAAAGAAACATTCTGCTGAGCAGAGCAGGCAGCATTCAGAGCCAGCACAGCTTTTTGGGCATTATTGGAAATAGAGACACTGACATAATGTCCAAATAGAGAGCCTGGGATGTTGGTAGGGACTAGGATTTCTTTTGTGTGTTCAACAATTTGTTGCATGTCTTTTCCTGTCTACAAAGGAAAGAACTGGCCTAATCATGCTTCGTTATAGTTCGTAAAATCTGCTTTGTTGTGTGTTTTGAATGCTGAGAAAACATGTACAGTTTTTCTGTTCCCAGCAGTCTTTGATATCTGAAGTTTTTATCTGTTTGTTTTGAACAGACAGTGATGCAGCTGATTGCCAACACCTTAAGGCCCAGAGCAAAGCAAGATAAGGTTCCCAATTATGCTGTATTAATGCTTTGGGCTTCTCTGTCTAATGCTACTCCTGTAAGTATGTATGTTTGTATGTATGTATGTATGTGTGTGTGTGTATATGTGTGTATATATATGTGTGTGTGTGTGTGTGTGTATATATGTATATATATATATATACATATATACACACACACACGCACACACATATCCACGTACATGTATTAAATAATCGTCTGTTGAATAAATGAATGAATATTTGTTGTTGAAGTAAGACAAATGTTTGTCCTCTGCCTGGTCCATCTTGACTTTTTATTATCATCTAGCTTTACTTTTCTTGTTACCAACATTTTTGGTTTATGGCAAAGTCGCCAACAATAAAACCGTCTTTTAGTTGCATAAGTAACAACAAACTATAGGGAAGGAGGGAGAAGGGCATGTGAGTTAGGGGCTGGTGGGAGAGGGGAAACAGAGTATTCTCCTGTGTTTACCATGTAAATAGTACTTGCAAAATGCAAGGAACTGATGCTTCTTGCCAGAGAAGTAGCAATGATAGCAAGAACAACAATAATTAATAATAACAACTAACATTTAAATATGACTTACTATGTGCCAGGCGCTGCGTTGAACACTTTATAATTAGTATTTCATTTAATCTTTGCAACAATCCTAGAAGGTAGATGCTGTTATTATCCCATTTTACAGATGAGGAAAGTGAGGCTAACAGAGGTTAAATGATTTGCTCAGGGTCACAAAGCTAGTAAGGGAGGCTGGATTTGAACCCAGGTTTTCCTAACTCCAGGCCCAACGCTTTATCCACTGCACCACCTAGCCAAAAAAGAGGTGTATTGACTAGGTTAGTATACAAAGAATAGTGCCACAGAGTAGTTAGGAAGCCATTTCTTTAGGATTTCAGCAAAAACCGATCAGTAAAATAAAACAAGGCATCACAGCGCTGGACGAGAGTTTAGAGGTCGCTTGGTTTGTTCAGTTGTTCAGTCATATCCAACTCTTTAAAAAAATTTTTTAAAATTTTTAAGCAGTTGGGGTTAAGTGACTTGCCCAGGGTCACACAGCTAGTAAGTGTGAAGTATGTGATCTGAGGTCAGATTTGAACTCAGGTCCTCCTGACTTCAGGGATGGTGCTCTATCTACTGCACCACCTAGCTGCCCCAGTTATATCCAACTCTTCGTGACCCCATGGACCACTGCACATCAGTCCCTTTCATCCTCCATTATCTCTCAAAGTCTGTCCAATTTCATGTTCCTTGTTTCTATGATACTGTCTGTCAATCTCATCTTCTGCTATCCCCTTTTCTTTATGCCTTCAATATTTCCCAACATCAGGGTCTTTTCTAATGAGTCTTGTCTTCTCATATGGCCAAAGTATTTAAGCTTCAGCTTCAGTATTTGACCTTCCAGTGAATGGACTGAATCAACTAGCTTAGCCCTCTCATTTACAGATGAGAAAACAGGTCTGCACAGGTGCCCAAAGTCACAGAATCACAGAAATGGAGAGTTAGCAGGGACCCAAGCAGCTCTCTACTCCAACCCACATACATAAGAAAGTCTCAGTAGAACTTAACCAGCCACTGCCGTCATGACCTCTAAGAAGGGGAAACACACCACCTCTTGAGGCAGCCTCTTTCACTTTTGAGGAATTCAATTGTTAGGAAGTGTTTCCTGATGTCAAACTCAAATTGGAATTGTGAATTGTTCCATCTAGTTTGGAGAGAAATCTGAAATTATGCCCAAAGAGTTATTAAAATGCCCTTTGACCCAGCAAACCACTGCTAGGTTTATTTCCAAAGATGATTATGGAAAAAAGAAAAGAACCTATATGTTCTGAAATGTTTGTAGCAGCTCTTCTTTATGATGACAAAGAACTGGAAATTGCAGGAATGCTAGTCAATTGGGGAATGGCTGAACAAGTTGTGGTATATGATTGTGATGGAATACTACTTTGCTGTAAAAAATGATGAGCTCAGTGATCTTAGAAAAACATGGAAAAGACTTGCATGAAATAAGGTGGAAGTGAGCAAACATTTTATACAGTAACAGCAATATTGTTTTAAGAATGACTTTGAGCAAATAAGTCATTTTGCCTGTTAAAAATATCCAAATTAATTATAAAAGACATGAAGAAACTATCTGCATCTAGAGAAGGAACTGATAAATAGAAGTATATATAGAATAAATTTACATATATATTTTATATATATATTCATATTTGTGTCTAATGGTAGCCATCTCCAAGGTACGGGGAGGGAAAAAAAGGAAAAAAAGAAAAATAAATTTACATGATAACTCTATTATATATTTAAAAGAAACAATAATTTGTAAGCAATAGATTTGCAGTCTTAAGTACAGTTATCTTTTTTTATTATACTGTTATGGAAATATTACTTTTATTCCATAAATTAAAAATAAAATAGATAAATGTGAAAAAACGTTGGTCCCTTTGTAATTTACACCTATTGCTCCTGGTTCTGTCTTCTGGGGTCAACCAGAACTAGTCTAATCTTTCCTCCATGTAACAAATAGCCTATCCAATAATTGAAGACACCTAGTAAGTCCCTCCCAAGTCTTTCTTTTTCTACACTTAAACATGCCCAATTCTTTAACCAGTCTTCATATGACATGGATTCAAGACCCTTTACCATTCTGCTTGTCCTCTAGACACTCTCTAGTTTATCAGTGCCTTTCTTATATTTATGGTGCCAAGAACTAAAAAAAAAAAATCTTGTAGATGAAGAAGTGTGTTGAGGGATTATTATTTGTCTTTCATTCTCAAAGAGTACCAATGGCATCAGGAGAGTGATATCTTGACTTGGAAGTGAATTGGATATAAGTGAGGCAGGGCTGTGCAAAGTCATCAGCATTGTTCTCTACTCCCCAGTCAAATGGTACAGGGAGACTATCATCTTTCTTTTCCTAGAAGCTTAATACAGCTTCAGGTTGCTTTAGTGTTTTGAACTTCCACATTGTGTTAAGCTAGTAGTCCACCATGACCCCCAGATAGTTTTCGCCACAACTGATGTCTAATCATGTCTCCAATTCCTGTTTTATACTTGTGAAGTTTATCTTTTGTTCCATAATCAAAGCTTTACATTTGTTCATTTTGAATTTCATTTTATGAAATTTCACTTAATGGTGTAGCACAGGGGTTCTTAACCTAGAGTGTACAGATCTCCAAAAGGTAGGTGGATAAATTTCAAGGTGTCTTTGAACTCAGATAGCAAAACAAAAAAAAATTGTACTTTCACTAATGTCTCACTGAAACTTACAGTGTAATAATATTCCATTATACTCATATACCATAATTTGTTCGGCCATTTCCCCATTGATGTGCTCCTTAGTTTCTAGTCCTTTGTTATAATAAAGAGAGCTAATGTAAATATTTTTGTACACATGTGTCCTTTCCTGCTGTCTGTTGTCTCTTTGGTTATAAGCCTAATAGTGAGATTGCTGGGTCAATGGGTCTACACAGTTTAGCAGCTTTTTGAATATAGATCCCCAAATTGCTTTCTGAAGTAGCTGGAGCAGTTCATAACTCTGTCAACAGTTTTCCTGTAGCCCCTCCAACACTTACCCTTTTCCTTTTTTTTTTTTTTTGTCAGCTAGTCCAATGGATGTGAGATAGAAGCTGAGTTGTTTCAATGTTCATTTCTCCAATTATTAGTGACTTGGAACATTTTTTCATGTCCTTGTGAACTGCCTATTCACATCCTTGGTCCATTCCAGATGTTCATGTGGGCTATTTGTGCCTGACCCATGGCTGAGCCTTTGGAGCTTCTGTTGGTCTGATCAGCCACAGCTGGACACAGTGCACCTTGACCCCAACATAGTGATGTCATTTTAGCCCTCTTCAAGAAGGAAGGACAGCAACCAATTCACGTTCTTTAACTATGGGGAATTGCTTTTGTCCTTTAACAAAGACAATGACAACTATCATCCGTGTAGCACTTTAAGGTTTGCAAAGGGGTTTGCAATTTGTTGCCTCATTTGATCCCTACAACAACCCTGTCAGGTCAATACTGTTATTATCCGCATTTTACATATGAGGGAACTGAGACTGAGACATGCTAAGTGACTTGCCCGGGGTCACGCAGCTAAGCATTTATGTTGAGCTTAGATATTTCTATTTCAATAATCAGTTCTCTATGCCACCTAACTGCCTCAAGTCCTTCAGCCTCCATGGGTCTTAGTTTCCTCATTTGTGAAATAAACATGGTGCTTTCCAAATCCTCTGCCAACTCTATAATTCTTATCTTTTTCTAATCTATAAAATGCATGTAAAAGAAAACCATTAAATATGTTTTTAGTAGTTGCCTATAAAATTGCTTCTGGGAGTTTTTGTCACTTTGTATAAAAAGGACCAACTATTCCCCTTCTTGGAATTCTAAAGAAAAAGAATGGGGAAGAATATTCAGATGTGAGTAATGCAAAACTCTACAATGAACGTGAAATGAACATAGTAATAATAACAGTTCTTCCTCTTTTGACCACAGAGGGGAGTACTTGGCTCAGTTAAAACTGTTTATTTTATCCCTCTATAAAATAAAAAAGAGCAACTCACAATATCGTCGTCTGAGCTTTTTCCAGAGTGATTTCTCATGGAAATGAAAACCACTTCTGCTTTCCTAAATTACCCTTTCATTCTTCCTTTCTTGAGGAATTGACAAAACAAAACATCATTTTTGTTTTATAGCTGATAAGGTTTTCAGAAGGTAGTTTTTTTTTAACATATAGCAAAAAGAGCACTGGACTTAACAGTTAGAAAGGCTGGATTTGAGCCTTGCTCTCTGATTCTTAGGCTATACAGTTGTAGGCTTAACCTAAACTCATAGATTTACAGTTATCTTATACCTTAAGGGACATCTAGTTCAGTTCACACCTGAATAGGAATCTTGACAATATGCCTGACAAGTGGTCATCTGCTCCCTACCTGAAGACCTCCCAATGAGTGGAACTCACTAACTTCTGAGAAATTTCTAGGCAGTTCTGTTGGTAGGATGTATTTCCTTATGTAGAACCAAAATTTGACCCTCTGTATTTTTTACACGATAGTCATCGTTCGACCTTCTGTGGCCAAGGAAAACAAGGAAAATCCCTCTTTTGTGTAACCCTTTAACTACTTGAATACAGCAGTCCTGTTCTCCACTCTCAAGGTTTCTTTTCTCCAAACTAAGCACCCCCAGTTGTTTTAACCAGTTCTTTATTACTGTAATTTAGTGTCTCCCTATATATAATTCTGCTTGTCAATGGCCTTTCTAAAATATGGTACCTAAAACTGAAAACACTTCAGATATCTTATGATCAGGGGTCAGTTCAGCGAGACTATAATCTCCCCCCTGTTCTAGATTTTTAGGGGGTAAGAAGAGGGGTAAAAGGATGGTCCAGACTTGTGATTTTATTGGTACAAGAAAATCCCAGATGAGACAACTCTTGGTTCCTGTTCTGCAACTTGTGGTCTTAAAGAAGTGACTTGCCCAGATATTATTGTTGTTTGTCCATTTTTTTCCTTTTTTCTTTCTCTTTTCTTTTTTTCTTTTTTTTGGCTAGGCAATGGGGTTAAGTGACTTGCCCAGGGTCATACAGTTAGTAAGTGTTATGTGTCTGAGGCCGGATTTGAAATCAAGTCCTATTAACTCCAGGGCCGGTGTTCTACCCACTGCCCCACCTAGCTGCCCCTGTCCTTCATTTTCAAGAGGACCAATGACGTCATGGGGTAGTGTCTTGACTCTTGTGTGAACTGGATTTAAGTGAGGCAGAGTTGCACAAAGTCTTTAGCCTCATTCTCCCTTCCATAGTTATCAAAGTCCAGTGGCAGGACAAAAGTCAAGATGACTGGAGATGGCCCTAGATGTAGTAGATGACCTTGGAGTCTTTGATGTCTGACCAAGCTCTAAGCGTTCCACAGGGCCTGCTTCATCTGCCTTCGTGGTCATTGGAACAAATTGTTCTCATCCACCCATTCTGCCAGGGGAAGTCTTCACATGCTTGGAATAGAGACCACCCTAACTCACCAATGGGTTTGAGACCTGTCAGTTACCCTCAACCTCATTTAGCCCTTCTTCTGAGACTGTTTTACCAGGGTGTGGCTGCTATGCATGCTACAGCTTTTTGGAGCCATTGCTAAGAATTGGGTGACTTAGACATCTGAGTACGTAGCCATTATGTTTCAGAGGAAAGACTTAGTCACAGATTTTCTCTGTCTCTGAGATCTGCCCTCTATCTGCTGTGCCAAGCTGGCTGTCTCATTCTAGATCCTCCAGTTCTGTTAATATAACCTCTGAGCCCCAAGCTTCCATGCCTCTTCCTGGTGTGGGGGTGACCTTGGTTCTTGAAGGCCCTGCCAGGAGAACACATATTTTGTCAGATCCTACTAAGCTGGAAAGACTTTGTGTCTGGGTCCAGTGACAAATCATATTTCTCTTATCTGAGGATCAGCTTAGCTACATTCAAATATGTTTTTAACTTTTCTGAGTTTCAGTTTCTTCACCTGTGAAATGGGGATAATAGTTGTACTGTGTCTATCACAACAGAAAACCATAAGTAAATGTGAGCTATATCTAAATACTATAACAAAGTATATCAATATAAATTAGAACAAAGTATTATGTAATGTTATAATTTATATAAATTATATTAAATATAAGAAAGTATATCAACATAAAATGCTAATATTTTATCAAGGAAGAAGTTATAGTTGACATTAAATTCAAGACAGGTAATCTTTCCGATTGCAACGGTTTCCTGCTCTGATGGTCATATTTTTGGACAAATATTTAGAAATTCCATTTTCAGGTCTTAAAAATTAGTATAATTTCTACAGTATCATATTAAAATGTGTTTATGGTATCTGAAATATATATGATTTGCTAATTGTGTCTATATATTGCATTTAAGCCTTGAAAAATAAGGGTTTTTTTTTTCCCTTTCAGAGTATGTGGTAGATAACATATGTCTTATGATTTTATATTTTTGAATGTGTAAGTTGTGGCTATACTGTTAGGAGACTGATCACAGCTCATAGGATTTAAAGATGAAAGGGACCTTAGATACCATCTGGTTTAACTTTCTTACTTTACAGAAGAGGAAATAGATATAGAGGGTCAAGTGACTTGGCAAAGGTCACACAGGGAGTAAGTAAGTAGAAGAGCTCAGAATTTGAATCCATGTTCTGTGACCCTAAATCTCCTGCTTTTGCCTTTATACCATTATATGAATTTCTTTCATGTCTTGTGGAAGCCAGTCTTATTCTTTCATAGCTGTCCACTGTATTGATACAGTGGTACAATGGATAAAAAGCTGGGCCTGAAGTCAGGAAGATCTGAGTTCAAATGTGAATTTATACATTCACTACCTTTGTGACCCTAGGCAAGTCACATAACCTCTATTTGCCACAATTTTTCTCAACTGTAAAATGTTTATAATGATAATAGCAGTTTCCATGCTGCATATTAAATCCTCCCCACCCCACCCTGGAGCCATTACAATTTGAGTTTTTAATCTACTTTTTTTTTCTTTTGAAGGTGGCATATTGGACAATTGTTTATGTTCTTTATAATCCTTCTGTTTACGAGAATATTATGGAAGGCATATCTTCTGTGTTTGGTGAAGCAGGTACAAAACCATAACTAAATAACAATCGAAGACTTGGTGGTGGAGGTGGTGATGGTGGTGTCGTTTTCTTATTTTTAAGTTTCATGTGCCCTTTTGTTTTGTCACAAGAGGCACAACCCAGAAAACCCCTGAACAACTGGGGGCAGTATGGTATAGCCGAAAGAGGTCTGGACCTGAGAGGGTAGATGTTTAAGGGCTACCTCTGAAGCTTTCTGCTTGTGTAACTTGGGGGAAGTCACTCTTTTCTGGGCCTCCATGTCTTCATTTATAAAGTGAAGGCATTAGATGGCCTTTGAGGTTCCTTCCAGTTCCAGCTGTATCATCCCATGACTGTTATTCCCAGAATATTAGCTAAGAGCTTATTACAACTGATAGAACTTGTCACTCTACTTTTCAGTCCGTTGACGATTAACAAAAGGGAAAGATAGAGGGTTTAGCTTTTCTAATATGATATAATCTATCATCCTTTATGTGAGTTTTGTTGCCTCTTAGTATGTAATCTTTATTTACAATTTACATTGTTGTAGCCATCATGGGTAAATTGTTTCTTTATCTCTGCTTTTTACCCTCTGCCTTCCTGTAAGCAGGTCTTCCGTGTTTCTCTGAATTCTTCATATTTTTTACTCCATGTGACACAATGATATCCCATCATTGAAGACCCATTTTTATAAACTATTTATACAATCAAATGAGATGTATTTGTAAAGCACTTAGCAGGCACTGTCTATATACTTATTCCCTTCCCTTTCCCCTTTTCCAATAAGAGTGCCTTTCACTTTTGGTAAATCTGCATACTGAAAGTGTTACTTAAAATTCCTTATGCCTTTTTCCACAAATTTCTTGGAAAAAAAATTGTTTTCAGTACTTAAGACATAAAATAATATCTATTTTGGATTGCAAATTGACCCAGTTGAGTTCTTGTTCTATATTCTCTTGCCTGAAATAGGGGCCTGAGAAAATCTCGTTTCTTTACATGGCCATGGTATGTGAGACGGGTCCAGGGTTGGGCACAGTTGCCATTATAGTAGTTTAAGAAAAGATATTTTAAGTTTAAAAGATGAATTTCTATGCTCACGTATGTAGTAAATGACAATTGTTCAGTTCACATTTGAGTTAAGAAAATAACTTATGCTTTGAAAAAGATATACTGCAAAGAGAAAAGTTATGGCCCCAATTAATCCTGAAAGAATTTCATTTGGATTATCTTTTTAAGATTTTTTTTCCTCATTTCTATTCATTAACCATAAGAATTTATTAATATTGATTGAACTGGCTTTCTTGTTCCTCATGCACAAAGCTACGTATGCTGGGTGTAGGAAATTCCCTTGGCGGTTCCCCATGTAGGGAATATGCTCCCTCCCCCCTCCCCTGCACCTCCCAGAATTCCTTGTTTCCTTCAAAACTCTTTTGGTGACACAGTTGACCTGAAGCCTTTGCTGCTTCCCCCTCTTATTTACCTTGTATTTATTTTTATGTATTTTTTTGTTTTATGTATTTTGTGTATGTTTATTTCTGCATATGCTGTGTTCTCCAATAGAATGTAAGCTCCTTGACAGCGAGGGCATTTTCCCTTCTGTATTCCTATTCCCAATACATCTGTGCCTGACACAGAACCTATACTTAACAAGGGCCTGCTGATTAAGTATGTGTTACTTTGCCAGATAACACTTCATCAGCGCCTGGAGATTCAAAGATAGCAAGGAAGCAGTCCCTGACCTAAACAGTCTTACATTCCGTTGTGGGAAACAACATGTATGTACCCCTGTAACTGTACACAAAATAGATACAGAGAACAAGGTAACTTGGAGGGGAGGATTAGAGGTAGCATTTGAGCTAAGCTTTGAAGGGAGCCAGAAATTCTAAAGAGGTGAAAGAAGGGCGTTCCAGGCATGGGGAACAGCCTGTACAAAGGCATGGAGATGGGAGATGGAAGAGGATCATGATTTATCAGGATCAACTGAAAAGGGAAGTGATGAGATGGTCTCTAGGGTCCATTCTTATAGTCTAGAATTGACCTAAGGACTTAGGACTAAGGATCTTATGGATCAAGTTGTGCCCCCTTGTTTGATGTAAGAGGAAATTGATGCCTAGAAAACAGAAGTGATTTGCCCAAGATCATACTGGAAGTAATTAATAGTCATAATTCAAATACAGGTCTTCTATATTATCAAGTCGAGCTTGCTTTCCATTACACCACAGACTAGAGGTTGAAACAAGTGTTCAGTCATTGGAATAGAGGATATGCACTTTTTAGGTTGAATTAGATCATGATATTCCTTCTGAATGAATGAAAAAAAAAATTTAAAGCATTTATTAAGTGCCTATTGTATGCCCAGCGCTATGCTAAGCCCTGGTAGTAAAAATACAGTGGTGAGTCAGTTAAATCTCCCAGTCCCCACTGGGCCAGGGGAAAAAAAAATTTGGTCTGGGAGTTACAGTGATAGTGAAGGGAACTGTAGGACAATCAATTGACTTACTTCTACAGTGATAATACTCATTTGATAGTTGTCCCCAGAGCAAGAAGTAGAAAGATGCAGTGGGGTGAAATGTTCATAATGAACTGATTGGGATTTGAAGCTGGGTCTGAGATCATACAGATTTAGTAGGTTTAGATGAGTTTTTAGTTGCTAATCCAGCAATATAGAGTGCTTTAAGGTTACAAAGTATGTCATGTATATTATCTCATTTTTCTCATAAAAATCGTGGTTGAGTTCAGGAGGTGGCTGAAGTCCCATTTTCATAAGATAAGAGTGAGAAGGACTGCCAGGAATTCTTGAACCTATCACATACTGCACAACTACAGGAGAACTGCAAGAACTTTATTCTTTTTTAAATTTTTTTATTGCAAAATTAATAGTCATTAACAAACACAGATACTCCGAAACACAAATAACAAAGCATAAGAAGATGTGAATTTCTGTTGCTTAGTTTTTAAAATCTGACATCTTCGTATTTTATTTTTTCAACTTTATTTTTAATAATATTTTATTTTTCCCAATTGTATATCAAGACAATTTTTAGCATTCACTTTTACAAGATTTTATTTTGAGTTCCAGATTTTTCTCCCTCCCTCCCTCCTCTCTTCAGGAAATGGTAGGCAATTTGATATAGGTTATATATGTGCAATTATGTAAAACATATTTCCATATTAGTCACAGTTGTGAAAGAAGAAACAGATCAAAAGGAAAAAAAATCCCACAAAAAAGTAAGTGCAAAAAGTATGCTTCAGTCTGCATTCAGAGTCTATCAGTTCTTTATCTGGATGTCGATAGCATTTTCCGTCATGGATCCTTTAAGTACTTGTCTTGATCATTGTGTTGCTGAGAAGAGCTAAGTCATTCATAGTTGATCATCATACAGTGTTGCCAGTATTGTGTTCAATGTTCTCCTGGTTCTACTCATTTCACTTTCACTTCTTATTGCAAAATAGCATTCCATCAAAGTCATGTGCCACAACTTGTTCAGCCGTTCCCCAATTGATGGGCATCCCCTCAATTTCCAATATTTTGCCATCACAAAATGGGCAGTACAAGAACCTTAAAGAGACTTCTGCAGCCCTAACCCATGGGGGGAAATTCTGGTTCTTTCTTATATGTTGTAGAGCTCTAAGGGAAAAAAAACAAAACAAAACCAGAAATTTGAGAAATACTTCTCTCTCTTCTGGTTGGTTTTCTGGGTCTCATTCCCATCATGAAAAGAGGGGAAATAGAAAATAATGCTACCTCTAAAAGCCAGTGCGAATATAAGAACTTTATTATTGTCTTTTAGTCAGTACATCTCCAACTGTGGAACTGAAGATCAATTTCAAATAAGTTCTAAGACTTTTGTCTCTTCAATATTTTGGTCATAGGATTGTAAGATTGATAAAAAAGTTCAGATAAATTCCTAGATGATAGAGATGTACCAGATTTTTAAGGGAAATTAAAATGGTAATGGTTATACTCCTGCCTTCTTGAGAATACCAAACAATGTGAACAATAAGTGAAGTGCCATTATCAGAGGCAGAATATGAGATTGGACAGACTGTATGATTGAGTGAATATGTTCTTCATTTCTTAGGCTATGACTGTCAAAATAACTAATTTATCAAATTCTTAGCTGTCATCTTGGATGGAAAAATTCTTGTTGAATGTATAATATATTATACCATTGTATTGTGTAATATTAATATATACTTATCTATGTATGTGTAGACATGCATATCTACATATATGTATAAACCAACACATGTGTTAGTTTGTGTGTATACACACACACACATCACTCCTGAAATTTACTGTGGTTAGAAATTGGTTGGTATGCAGTTGGCTTTGTTATAAGATATTAAACATCCAATTTGGATTTAATGGGTTCTCCTCTTTGAATTCTACTATCCACTTTTTGGTAGATTAAGGAATAAGATTATTAAAAAATTATTTCTTTACTAAGATATTAAAGCAAAAATGTACTTTACCTTCCTGATGGAGATATGTTCCTACTAATCTGAGCAGTGAATATTGGTAAATTATTTTTAAGGCTGATATTTACATTTACTGGAGCCATGAATGTACAACTTTTTTTAAAAAAGATAGCAGGATTAAAAGTATTCAGCAGATGTTAAATAAACAAAATCAATTCACTTTTCATGGCCCTTCCTTGGAAAGATACTCTAGTTAGTGAATTATGTGGATATTTGTATATAGGCTTGTATGCCATAGCAGATGGACCTAAGGTAGTGAATATAGGGAAGATCCCTTGGGGCTGCAGAAGCCATGACAATACTTCTCCTTCAGAGCTGTTGACAGGACAGTTAGGGCAAATATTAGTCTTGGCTGAATGTATATCTTCTATAAAATCCTCTTCTAGTTTGAGATTTATGGAAGCTACAATGGTTCAGAACCACAAGAGTTGTCAAGATAGTGCCCAGTCCACAAATGAGAGGTTTTTTTTTTAAGAAAAAGACTTGTTCAAAATCAAAATACCAAGAACATAGCTTTCAAAAATGGTCGCAGAGTTAACAG